TTGCATTAACAAATTTTCCTTCTAGAGAATTCTTTAAAGTGTATAACTCTGGGTAAAATAAGTCTATGTCACTTTTTTCTAAGTCTGACCATTTCCCTTTCATTATCAAGATGAAAAAAGCATAGACTGCCCAACTGCCTTTACTAACTTCTATTACTTTGTTACCACTGAACAAGTGGTAGAAAGACACTCCACAGGTTCCCAAACTTGGTGACCTTCAAAAACTCATGAGAAAGTCACTTTAGACTTCTCTCACCCATCTAACCACCTATTTGTCTAAATACATGAATAATTAAATTTCTCTAACATGATCTCTTTACTCAATTACTCCGCGTCAAACTGCATGCAAAGCAGCATGCAGGTGAAAGCTCTAATTACAAATAACGCACGTGCTCCAAAACAAAGATTTAAACTATACAGCGTATCCAAAAATACCATTAAAGCACTACAAATTTAACTTCCCCCATCTCCCCGCCAAAAAAGGAAGCTGCAACACAAATGATCCCTCTGAGAGGACCGAGATGAGATGCCTACCAGTGGGCGGTCTGGTGGAAAGGTGCCAGCACGACCTCTCTCTCCAGAGCCCTTCATCCACAGGGCGGGGGTAGAGGGGGCGGTTCAGAGGCGCGGTTTCTCCCCCATGTATTCCCGTCCATGAAATTAACCTCTATCCGCTCTGATCAAATACAATACCTCAAAGTTTCAACTATTTGAAGGTGCTTCATGATGAGTTAGCTGGAAAAAGCCAAGTTTTTTTGCACAGTTCAGTTGCCTTAGTTACAAAATTTTGATTTTAATTAAAGGAAATTTTCTGAGCCGTTACAATGTCCCTCCTGTTGTTAATGAAACTTAGAGAACACATGTGCCCAACATGACTGTTAAATTTAGTACCCTTCTCAGCCTGTCCAGTTCATCCCAAGTGCAGTAATTCAAGCTCAGTGTGTGGACTAGACACTGCTGCATTCTGAGGCCATCTGCTCCTGTCATCCAAATCCACCCAAATAAGGTGTTACTAGACATAAGTGACCCTATCTTTCCCCCTAGGACTTTTATCAAACATCTTTCCATCTAAGATCTAAGAAATCTTGCTTGGGGAAAAAAATGCTCCTTTGTTCCTTTCCAATCCATGAGATGCTGAAGGTAGGGCTAAAAGGGTAACCTTCATCCTTCCAGAAAGCATTTCATTATTGTCCACCCAGATAATATGCATTCATATTTAAAAAGTAACATTAAAAAGTTATATAATTGTAACAAAAAAGTAACATGATTGGAGAGGTCATAAGCCCCTGAACACATTCCCTATCTTTAGCTTATAAAACAAGCAAATCAAAATAACCATTACTACTAACCCAGAGAAGGGGCAACTTTAAAGAAAACATTTCTTCAAATGGTTAATTCATACGTGGCATCAAACTGACTTAATGATTATTTGGTTAAAAGAATGAGAAAGCACACAAGAAGTTTAAAAGGAAAGAAATAACAAACCTGGAAGTTTCCTACACATCATTTCATTATCTGATGAATTCCCAGAACAGGTAACAGGTGGTGGAGTGGGCGGAAAAGCCATCAGTCCTGTCCCAGCTCACCTACTGAGACGTCTATTCTTACCCAATAGCCCTCAGGTATTCCTGAAACAAACAAGGAAATTTACTTCCTTCTAACTCAGGATCCCAGTCATTCTTTCAACTGGAGACACTCACAGGTATGACTTCCTTTTGTTAAAATAAAATAAAAGCATAGTAATTCTACAGCATCTTACTACTCTGATGGACAGTGACTGCGAAGGGGTATGGGGGGGGGAGCTTGGTGAAAGGGGGAGCCTAGTAAGCATAATGTTCTTTATGTAATTGTAGATTAATGATACCAAAATTTAAAAAATAATAAATAAAATAAAAAATGGCAAGTACTCAATGCTATGCGTTTATTTTTCTCTCAAATTTCCTAAACAGTGGATCCATTTATTAATTGAAGAAGGGTATTCAGAACACAGACAAACCAGGAAGAAGGACCCAATTCAACCAGTATTTTCTGAGCATTCTGCGTTTAGGACAATGCTAGACACACAGCAGACAGACCCTGGAGAAATGCAGAGACCCAGCACACAGCCACACTGACAACAAAACAGACTCTAAATGCCTCTGTTGGTAAAAGGGACAATGAGAATTTCAAAGGGCACAAATCACACACTACCTGAGGTAACTGCTTTTCCAGACACAACTAAATTTAATCCTAAAGTACCTGGAGTATTTTGATACACAAACAGTTCTACCACCTCACAGCCATAAGCAATGGTTGCTATTGTTTCTTATTAAAATGGCCAGAAAGTCCTTACAAATGTTAGGGTAACAATTTTAAGAGAAAACCAAGCTATGTCTAAAATAAATGTGTAACTTTTGAAATAAGGTATGAGAGAGAATTAAGATGAAACGTTCTCCACTTTGATATATACTGTAACCCTCAAAAAAGTATTTATTGTTATTTTTTCAGAAAAGAACATTCCCCACCTTATTTTTAAAATTTACTTCTCAGGTAGGCTGTTAAAAGGGGTTCTATTGTAACTTATGTCCCCCTGACAGTACAAAGTTTGAAAAAAACACCTTATAATTAATATATAATAAAAGCATCAAATTCTTCCTAGCAGACTTATCCAGGAAGTCATTTTCTCCATTTAGGCTTTAAAATCCTACATTACCCTTCTTACCACTATTCCCATCGTCACCAACTTCTCTTTTCTTCTCACCTACCTCCCGTTTTGAAGTCTCAAGTTCTCTCAAATTCCATTCATCAGAGAAAACTTACCGCAGTTGTTCAATCAACCCGTCACGTACCAGCCCAGACCCGCCCTCACCACTCAGAAGCCTCGTGTACCCCCTTCCCCACTAGGTGGTGTCCTGGACAGACGGAAAGCAAACCACATTTTTAACACAACACCAGCTTAGTGTCTCAAATCATTTCCATAGTGAAATGGCAAAAAAGTTTTTCAAAAATCCTGTTAAAATGCCAACTTATAAATATAAAGGTTGATTTATATTCACTTACCCATTACCGACATCAGAATGATTTGTAGTGGGGACTTGATAACAGGGGGAATCTAGTAACAACAATGTTGCTCATGTAAGTGTATATTAATGATACTAAAAAAAAATTTTTTTTTTTTAAGAAGTGATGTGTAACCATCCTTGGGCATTAACCAATACAGCAGCTTACCTTCAAATTCAAATGTGCAGTGGTACCCCAGCGAAGTTAATATAAAATCACCACATGATGTGGTCAGGATTATACTGAATTAGAAATAATAATTTTTAAAATGCTCTTTAAAGTTAAAACTACACATACCCTATCCCAACCCAAACCCAGTGTTACTGAGTATTTCCGGTTATAAACTGTCAACGGTGATGTTGAGTACGATTCCATTAGTCTGCAATTGTCAGGAAAATGGTTCTACCCTTGTGGTTCTAACACCTATAAAGATAATGGAATTGCTCAGAGGAAAGCTCTTACGTCCTCTGCTTCAGGTGGGAGACTGTAGTTCCCTATCCATAATTTAGTTTTCAGAGTAACACTCGAACAATACTCCCTCTACCCAGCCCTCCAGATAGTGTGTCCTGTCGCCAGAAATACCTCCCCATCTACCACTCAAGTCATGGAAACAATTTAAAGCTGGTATTTTGAAAGGGTGATGAACTGATGTCAAATCCTGCAAAGGCTCCTGAATTCCCCACTTTCCCATGGTCTACAGCATGACTATGACCCAGAAACCAGTTGGTTCTGGGGTTCCCCTCCTACTTCCTGTCAAGTCATCCACACCTACCAACTCTACCAGGCCAATTCACTCCCCAAATTCATTCCCCTAATCCCCAAAATTCCACTGCTCATTAGACAGTGTGCACCTTGTTACAGACCAACCAGATGCCCAAGTCCTGACCCCTCTCTTACTTCCCTGGAGGAACCGGGAGCGGGGGATGGCGTGGGAGAGGAGCGGAAGAAGTACATATAACTCCTTCCAAATACCATCAAAACATCTTGGTACACATGACTGCGAGTGTGATTAAACCAGAAGAAAAGGCAGCAAAACGTGCCACGGGTAAGGGTCTATCTGTCCTTCTGCTGGTCATTCAGTCCAACTCTATTAAATCAATTCGTTGCCTGAAAAGATTCTAGCCATAAAGCGCACGACAAATCCACAACTGAGATAACCACGTCGAGAACCACAAAGGGCGCTGGAGCCCCGGCCCCAGGCAGTTCCATCCCCCCGGGGGGTCTTCACGCGCTGGCCTTCGCCTCCCTCCACCCCCGGGGGAGGCCGGTCACGAGGCGCGCGCACCTGGCTGGCAACCCTACACTACCTCTGAGAACCTTTTTCGACTCAACACAAGGTTTGCTATTTACACTTCTTGCATCAATTTTTTCCTTACTTGGGCAAAACTCGCATAAACTTGAGTTGTATAAACTGCGGCGCACTGTGAAGGGAAACAAGCTGGCTTTGTAAGTAAGCTGAAAGTCAGGCGTTTTGCTCAGCAACAAACTGCCGAGGTCCGCGGGCGCTGGGGGAGGGGCTCCGGGGCTCCGCGCGCCCGGCTCCCGGCCGGACTGCCGACCCGCGCGTCTCCGGCTTTAAGGTCAACCGCGGAGGGGGCCTCAGGCGGAACGCAGAGGGCCCGCCGCCCGCCCTCCGCACGGGCCGCGGTCCAACCGCCGGCGCGGGGAGCCACCACGGGACGCGGCCGCGCGCCCGAGCCGGGCTCGAGGCCCCTGACCTCCGGCCCCAGCCGCCACGCCGGGCCCCGCGCCCCGGGCTCTCACCTCCGGCCCCACATTAGGCTCCCGAACCCCGCCTCCCAAACCCACGCCGGGCCCCGAGGCTTGGCCGCGGGCCCACACCGGGCCCCTGACCTCCACCCCCGACCCCATCTCGGGCCCGGGGCCCCAGGACGCTGACCCGCGGGCCCCACCACAGGCCCCCCCGCCCGGCCCCAGCCCGCTCTGGGCGCGGCGCTCACCGAGGACGCGGAGGGGACGGAGGCCCGGGTGCCCTCGGCTGCAGCACGGCGGCGCTGGTGGCGGCCCAAGCGGCGGCGGCGGCGGCGGCTCCGGCTTCTCGCGCGTTCCTTTCTCTCCTTTCTCCGACAACAAACAGGAAGTGCGTCACGCGGCCGCGGCGCGGCAGCGTCCATTTCCGCCCGGCCCTGACGCCGCGCGTGCGCCCTGCGCTCCCCGTCTTCCCGAAGATTCTGGGCGGCCCTGGGGGGCGATGGGGCTCTGGGTTCCCGCGTCCGTGGGTCGGGCCTCCAGGTCGGAAGGAGGCCGGGCGCGGAGGCGTTGCCCGGGCTCCGGGGACCCGGCCCAGGAGGGGCCCGCCGTGGGGCTCCCGCGCGCTGCCGCGGCCCTGGCGACCTGGGAGGACGGACTCGGGCCGCCGCGCTGAACCTGCCGTGGGTCGGTGTCACCGCCCACCCGCCAGAGCTCGGACGCAGCCGCCCTGCGGGCCCGGCCAAGCCGCGGGCATCTGGCCGACGGCCTTGAGCACCTGGACCCGTCCGTAGCCGTGGTTCAGACCAGAGGACGGCTGTGCACCGTGTGCGCCCATTCCTGGCGCTTCCTCAGCCTCCATTGCCTTACAGTGCATAGTTTTTAGCAGATGACATAGTTTTAGCAGAAGAACACGATTTTTTCATCTTGAGTTAATTCTCTAATCTTTTCTTAGTGGGTTACGGAAATGCCTGGTCAAAAGAAAGGAGGAACATAGTATTTGGTTTTAGTACTGACTAAGGCGATCTCAGTAGCGATGGGAATTTCGTTCACATACCAACATTTTGACAGTCACATAACCGTATCTGCTCTCAGGCCGATGGAGTTTATTTCCCTGCCAGTGTTGACCGTACTGTCATGTGACATTTTACATTTTATAAGTCCCTACAGCGGGTGTGAGCTAATCTTGAACTGCAGACAGCAGAGACATGAATTTTAAATAGTAAGCGGTAGGCTAGCCACAAATAACTTTTTCCAGCTCCCTCCAAAAAAATTATTTGTTAAAACATCTTGTCAGTGCAGTGACTGTATCACGAGAAAACCCAACTAGGACAAAGCAAGTCACCAGCCCTGCTGTAATCCACGTGGTGTCCTGGGAGAGGAAGAGTACACACCCCGACACTTACATTTTAACAGGGCAATGTTCAAGCAGTTTTTAGTAAAACAACAGAGGCCTTTCAAGATAAGGTTAAGGACTTATTCCAAAATTAATGTTAGCCGAGATGGTAGTACTACTGAAAACCCTGGCTCGGAGAATGATCATTTCAAAATGGAACAGCAAAGATTTAAATTGAAATGAAATATTTGGAAATGAGTAAGGAGGCGAAGTACGAAAGCACAAAGTTGGTCTGGGAAGAGGGAACGTGCCGATTTGATGGGAACAGGTTTTTAATCATGGAAAGAGAAGATAGGGCTGGAAAGGTGTTTGGGCCTGCGTGGAGGCCAAGGGCTTTACTCTCTGGTAGGCAAGGGAAGCTACACAGGCTGGATAGAAGAGCAGGGAGATTGTAAATCCGGGGAAAGGAAATCCCGGGACAGAATACCTCTAAAAACCGAAATCAGTCAAAGGGAGAAATAAAGTTTAAAACCCGTTTATTGTTTACAAAACTGCAGTCCGGGCAGGTCTCTCCTTCTCAAGCAGCAGCAAAACCGGCCCTCCCCCTCCCCTCGGGTACAGATAAGCCCTCCTTTCCCGGGTATTACCCATTGGTAGGGAGATGAACGTCTCCCCACCCCTGAGGAATGATGCAAATGTACTAAAGCCGTACTTCTTTCCTCCAGAACGCCTATTGATATGCAGAAGTACTAAAGCCAGGCGAGATATTATGCAAATGTTACAGTTTTACTTACAGAGATTCTATGGCTTTGTTTCCTAATCTGTAAGAGACAATAATAGGCTCAATGTGCAGGTTAGTTGTGTTTAACTCAGTGCCTGACACAGTTACTAACTAAATAATAGCTCCTCGTTGTCAAGGCTTCTTAGAGAAACTGATAGAAGGGGCAGACTTCTCCCCAGCAAAGCGTGGTAGTGCTGTGAGGCTTGTGAGCGCGTGCACATGCCCTGCCAAGCCCGCACAGGAGTCCAGGAACCTCAGGTGAAGGTCTCGAATCACAGTTCAGCAATTTCATCAAACTGTAATTTACTTTGGATCCAAGGTTAACATTTGTAGACATTTGCCCAAAGATAATAAATTCATGAACAAAGAAAGAAAAAAGTAATTACGAGGTTATTGATCACAATTTTGCTGATAATCAGTCCCTCTTCACCAGGACATAGCATGCAGGCCTTAAAAATAATTAATAATGTAATTATGCTTATTGACATCAAATATATCCAAGATGCATTATTGAAATAGTGGGTTTAATGTGATCCCATTTTTGTAAAATTGTATTCATTGATGTGTGTGTGTATACATGTATATATGTGAAATACACATACACATTATAGGAGGGGAATAATTTTCCCTCTACCCTTCTGAGTTCTTAGTGGAGACTCCGTATAATAAAACATGGTAAAGGAGAAAAACAAATACGAGTTTGTTAACATACATACCTCAGGTACACAAGAGACCCAGGAAAAGCACCCGCTAAATGGCATCTCCAACTAAAGACAAAACTGTTGGGTGTTGAGGCCAGTTAAGGGAGGGAATCAGGAAAAGCAAGATGAACAGGGTTAGGTTGTTATGCAGATTTTCGCGTTCTCCTAGAATCCCTGGAGGGGGAGGAGCCGGTGGCGGCAGTGAGACGCACCCATACAAATGGAGATTTTCCTTTTAAATGTGCATTTCCCTCACACAGGGCAACTTCAGTTTTCAGAGCTTCTCCTGCACCTGCAGTTTCTCAAAAACCATTTGCTCGAGATAATCTTTATGCCACAGAAGCCTGTTTGGGTGCATATTCTGTTATTTAAACATATACACACAGAAACCTAGAAGAATATTCAACAAATTGTTAAGGGTGATTGTAACTAGATAGTGAGATCACGTAGTTCCCTCTTTCTGATTCGTGTATTGTTTGAACTTCTGTATCACATATAAAATATATTCTATTCATTATTACTTTCCAATCCAAGAAGTAAAATCATTTTTATGAAGTTGAAGCCAGGAAGACACAAAGCCTACCTGAAACTCCGTAGTGTGCTGTGAGAGACTGAAATCACGTCGTGGGATCGGCGTGAGGAGCGCATTTTCATTTACCCATTTATTAAACACCTACCGTACACCAGCACTTGGCAGGGCTGTAGGCACAGGTCCAGGAAGACAGGAGTCATTCCCTTGAGGAGCTTAGCGCCCAGAAGAAGACAGTTGTGGGGGGGTTGCCTGCTGTGTGGTATGTGGGCATGCTGTGAGGCTGCAGGGGTGAGGGTGTTAGAAAAAGCATAAAACCTAAATGTGATTTATTCCCACCAGTGAGACACGGACCGTGGGTGTAGTCGGAGTACGGTGAGGGCCTCTGGAAAAAACAAGGCAGGATATTTGCAGTCAGAGCAATGTAACTACATGCAAGGAAACCCCCTACTAAAACTCTGTGTTAAACATTAAGCTCTAGAGTCATTCTTCAGTGAGATCAGTTAATATTCCCCAGATAAAGAAGAGTAGCCCATGTTTATATTATGCTCATCATTTATAATCATGTGTAAGATTCACTTTAACAGGCTAAAAGGCCCAGGCCTATGTGCTGTCTTTCCTCCTTCAGATCTGATGAAGTTTCGATTTTGCAAACAGGGTAAACTAATGTAGCTGCAGGCCCAGTCATAAACAACACAGTAAAAGGCAAGAAGGATTACACCTTAAGGATAAGACTGCTTTTTAATACCCAAGAAATTATGACATTGGAAATTCTTCACTTACTCTTTAGCAAACAATACCTCAGCCCACCTTGGGGGCTGAGCAGGTGGTCTTGTTTCATTGCCCCCAGACCAAGACGCTGGTATCTCAGGGAGGAATCATCAGAGCCACAAGTTGCTTGTGTTAAGTTAATTCGAAATATTCAGGGACCACTTAACAAGTCCACACCCCTAAGCTTTTTTTTGTATTTTCGAAAAATCCTCAACTGCCTATAAAACCCCTAGAAAACGCACCACCCCGGACTCTCTTGTCCTCTCCTGGCCTTAGCCGGGAGCTCTGTCCTGTCACTTTATCTCTAAATAAAAGCCCGTACCTTGCTCTCCTACCTTGAGTGTTTGTGGAGCTCATTGCTTGGCTTTGTGAGCAAGAACCGGCACCACCAGGAGGTTTAAACGTTTTAACAGTAAGGTATTAACAAAGGGCCACGTGGTGGAAAATATGCCAGGAAGCTGCTCAGGCTGGGAGTTGGGGTTGGGGAGAAATTGGTAAGGACCTGGCTATACCTGTTTGAGTTTTTTAAACTTATCAATGAAATTAAGACAAATGTAAGAGAGGGCCCAATGTGTATATAATTGGCTTGGGCGACGTCCGGGAAAGAATGTGAGCCCTGTAGTACTCAGCCAGTGAGGAACCAGGGGAGGGACTCGCGTGCTAGGGAATAAACTACTTGGTGCCAATGGCCTTGGGTGTGCCTGCCCGCCAGACACCCGATCTTGCAAGACTGTCCCTCGCTCCACTGTTCTCTTTGTCTCTGTGTCCACTTACTGAGTTTGGACCAGTGAGTGTGTTTCTCACAGGGGGAGGAAACTTCCAGAACAGGCCAATCTTGGGTGACTTTTGCAAGGTAAATAGGAGTTAACAGTTGAAGCTCTGCGTGGATGGAGAGAATTCCAGACAGAGGAAGCACTTCCAAGGATGGCCAAGACTAGAGAAAAGAAAAAGTTAAAGGGTACTGTTTTTAAAACATGAGCTGCACCACGGTCTAGGAATGGCACCAGGATTCTAATTTCAGAAGGAAATTTTTTGGTTTTGCAAAGGTAAGGCCATCAGCAAGGTCTAGAGGACAGGGACTGAGACAAGAAGAATGTCATAAGGGAAAAGGCGCCTGTGCCAAGCAGTGCATCTCCGCAAAAGTCGCGGCAATCTTAAGAAGGTGTGCAGGAGCCAAGGACATAGGGGGCGGGGAAGGGGCAGAGCCTGGGGACAGGGGACTCGGGAAGCAGCCATCAAGGACATCGTCACGAAGTGTGGGTTCTGTGCTTTCATTCCTCTGT